GGAGGATATTACTGGAAAATACTCGCATTAGAAATTAATGTATCTCATTAGCTCGCAAGCGCATTGCGGTACATCGGGATAAAGCGCACTTTATCGCCTCTGCCCAGTGTAAACCATTCCGCGAGAGTGTCCATCGGCGGTAAAACCTTAGGTTTCAAGTTTGCGCTGAACAGGCTGCAGGACGACCCGTAAACGACCGGCAGGATAAGACAAGTCAGGATTCACAAAGCAATTACCCCATTATCTCGCGGAGAACAGGGCGAATTACGCTAATGTATCGGCGATATCTCATTAAAGGGGAAAAGAAGAAGAAAAGCAACGTTACTCTCTGCCTGTCTGTCTGTCTCTCTCTCTCTCTCTTTCTCTCTTTTGCCGCATTATCGCGTCTCTTCCTCTCAAAGAGTCTTTCGTTCTGAAAGCTGTTATCCTTGTCCAGAGGCGTACATTCCAAAGCTGATCTCAATAAAGTAATCGATTTATAGCGGAGCGACGTATCAATAATGCGCACTCAATTAGAGTCGTAAGTATATGCCTATTATGGAGTACATCAAGTATATACTCGACTAATGTACCCTTCTAGATATTTAAATGATTAAAAAAAGGGATATAAATGGTTAGAAAAAATTTAGTTAAAAAGAGCTATATTTTTCGTTTCCCTTCAATTTTTTTTACACATATCATTTCATCAATCATCGAAATCATATCATTAACGTTGAAAATAATAATTGTTTAGATTATATTAATAAAAATAATTTTTTTTTTCCATTGGATGATTGAAAATCTTGGTTTCATGTTGTATAAAATTGTCCTTGATAATACAAAATCTGAATTTTAATCTTCAAAATAAATAAAACAATAAAAGAAAATAGATAAACTCTTACTTTTAATAGATTCTCAAAGCAAATTTATAAATTTTTTTTATAAATCAAGACTTTTCCTAATTGTATACCTAAAAAATATATTTTTCTCATATCAGATTAATACAAAAAAAAAGTTTATTATGCAGTATTATAACTTAAGAAAACGAATCGATTTAATAACGGGGAGAATGATCCACCGAATGATGACCGATATTTTTTTAGCTCGTCCTCGATTTAATCCGCTTATAACCAAGGTTGTAAATCACAAACAACGAATCGCAAAAATAACTATTAAGTAAAAATGAAATCACACGCCTCTTGTAAAATCCAATCGATGTGCAACAAATTCTCCTTAATATTGCCATGCTATTCATCGCGGTGCGCCGTATCGTTCAACCCTATTAAACTAATTTAAGCTCGCTCGCTCGCGAGAGACAAGTGTCGCTCGTATCTTGATGTTTCTATAACTTCGCGACTTAAGACCATAATCTGCTGCGATTTCGTCGCGAATGTGCATTCCTCGCTTCCTCGCCTGCGACGTCGCCGTAAGCGGATTAGCTTGCTCGGACTCGATTTCGCGACTTTATCTGTATATGGCTTCTTCTGACTCTTCTCGATGTCTCTCTCCCGAGCACTTTCCTCTCCGTCGTTAAGGGATTAAGAAGTGCTCGATTCTGTCAAGCCACACGTGGAAATCAGAGATATTTACAAGAATCACAAAAAGCATAAAAATAGAGCAGCACAAAATAACACTAGGATTAAAAGTCGCATTAAACCTAACTTGGCAATATCTTTTCATATAAAATACATATTTTTAACGTATCTTTTATTTGCTTTTTATGCCGTACGTATCAAATTGCATCGTCTATAAATTTCATTTTTTAGTCTTTCTCTCAATTTCTCTATGTATCTATTTCTTTTTCTTTAATTGTTTCCTCTATCTTTTTTAAAGAATTTTGAAGGAATTAGATAGATACCGTAAACCGTAAATCAATAAAAATAACCATAAACTTTGTCAACATATGAAGGAACGTAATTTCTGTACGTGAATAAAAAAAGAAGGCATTATATTAAGCAAAGTAAAAAATTGTGAAAGAATGAAAAATGAAGAAGATTGGACACTCTCTCCGGCTTGTGGAGAAATCTTGCTAAAATTATAATCTTCCATTAACCAAGGCACTTGCGCGTATAAAATACACATGTAATCGATCGTCTGGTATGCTATTTTATGTTCAGCTATAAATGCTAACTTATTGCTTTCTTAGTAAAGAATAACAGATTTCAATAAAGCAAAACTTAATTACAGATACATTTAAATTATACCATGTACTGATAAAAACATTCTCAGTTATTATTAATATCGATTTGCAGAAAGAAATAGAAATTAAAGCGCGGAAGAGCCTTTACTCGAAGGTTGTTTATAAATAATGCATTATGATAAATTCAATCATCTGTTGCAGATGAATTCTTGACGATGAGCGTAACTCAAAAAGTTTTGCAATACGCAATTTACCTTGAAGATAATTAATATTGTTCGTCGTAGTTACGGTATCAAAAAATGTGTGATGCAGTATCACGTGGTGTGCCAAGACGAAGATTGATATAGCATGCATTGTATAATTAAAACAAACAAGGGACAATTGGAAGCGTCTAAAGTAGGCGGTAGAGGCCCCGTCGTCCTTGCAGCCCGGATTTAATGCAGCTCGCGTGCACATGCACCATAAAAACCAGCATGTGTCGTCAATTCTGTTAAAGGAATTTTCTTACCTTTTGATATTTAATAATATTTTTCATTGAATATACTCTTTGCAAAATTGTTTTATAATTTTCTTTTTAATAATCTTTTATTGAAATTTACTTAATAATTGTATAGTCTTGATAATTAGATTTAATTTTTAATCTAATTTTGAAAAATAACACATTATGTATGTTGACGTTATACAGATTCTTTCAAACAAAAGAATAGAATTAAGTAACCATTCGTAACGAGCATCTGATTGAAAATGCAAGCATAGTATTCAATAATAATAACTTGGATTCTTTTACGATTATAGTGCAGCGTAGCCTTCTCATACCATATTCAGCGCGCCGATACGAATGAAATGAAAGCATTTTATATATGAAACAACTATTTTTATGGATCGCAAGGAAACATAATGGGATTGCCATTTATAGAATCCATTATAGCAAAGAAAAATCGAAATACAAAGTGAAAGTTAAATCGCATGTATCAAGGATACCTTATCAAACCTTTTTCGTTTCTGCAAAAATAACTGAATATTCAAATATTCATGAGATACGTTTTAATGAAATGCATTCGGATATGAATTGTCTTAAACATATTGTAACTTAAACATAATAATTTTATAATAATTTGTAATATTGTATAACTTGTAATCTATAATACTTCTATACTTCTATAATGAAAAACAATCATATTATCTAAATAAATTGTATATTCACATTTTACTATATAATCTTTCGAAAATTATAGTTAGCGTTAGAAGATCGTACTTGAAATAATCTTTGAATCAAAGTTTCTTTCGATATTATCGCAAAGGAATGGAGAATCTTCGGGATTTTTACCTGACGTTAGTTCAAGGACGCTTAGGAAAAGTCAGCGGGATTCCTCGGAATCTCTTGCGTTCCGCCAAGATGAGCGATGGACGTAGCAGTAGAGTTGTTCCTGAACATTTATAAGAGGCTGCCGGCAACGCCGTGATAAATCAAACCAGGGTCCGACGTAGCTGTTAGGGCACGGGAGGGTAGCGGTGGAGAAAGAGGGGGAAGGTAGGGTTGAACCGGACTCTCGTGGGGTCAGATCAACTTTCGTTGCCGCGCGGAGGAAAGCCAAGGCGGCAGGAGAGGCTGTCGAGATCTCGAGATGAATGCTGAGTAACGCAAAAAAAAAAACTCATCTGCATTCCTGGCTATATCAAGGATGCTGCTGGTCGCTTTTAATAATTAACGGCCTTATCATCAATTAGAACTCCTGAGTATACCATGATAATACTTTCTACTAGCTTTTTTTATTTTTTAATCGATGATATTTTGATAAATGAACAGAAGAATATATAGTGCTTTATTGCAAGTGATTCTTATCACGCAATTGTCTTTTCTAAAAAAAAATAATTTTTTAT